ATATTTATAGGAGAAGATGACTTTACTATTTCTTGGGAAACGTCCGGCAGTAGTAGAAGCGTCAGAAAAACTGGTAACTTTAAGTCCAGAAGACACTGAGGTAATTCAACAGACAAAAGCAAAAGGACTGTTCGTGGGGTCCAGTCATCTTTGGTCAAGAAATTAACTTAATTGAACAGTTTTTTATGATTGCTAATCACCTGATTAATACAAACCGTTTCGCCACTATTTCCATAGTACCGAGCTGGGGGGCAAACTGTTGGGGTCGAATCTCTCCCTGGAGATAACCAGTCACAAAAAGGCTAAGTATGGTGATCGTGTTNGNATCGGTTCGCCAACCGACGTCATATAGATCACATATGTGCCGAAGTCAGCATCCCGTGAAAGCGTACCGATACCGCTACGCGAGCATATGAGCCGATGTCGTGATGAGGCACCGATGTCACCTGTCGACTTCAGCTCAAGGGTTCCGACGTCAAAGGCGTGGCACCGATGTTGATGTCAAAAATCAGTACGAAGTGGAGCGAAGCGGAGCGATGTGGTCCGATGTCACCGAGACAGCCATATACCAATACCGCGACGCGACGCGGTACCGATGTGGAGACATGGTGCCGATGTCAACCGTGTGTTGGCACCGATGTCGATCACAGGTTTGGCCCGAAGTCCCGCTGCGGAAAAGTTGGGCCGATGGGCCGAGCGGTACGACGAAGATGGGCCGAAGCAGCACTGGACAAAATCCACGAACGAGCAACCGACTCAAGCTAGAAAGAATGGAAATTGGAGAAGGAAGGAGAAAATTTCCATTATCATTTAGGAATAGGAAACCGACTTAGATTACTATATATACTCATGTGTAACCCTTAAGAAGGGGATAAAAAAAAGAATCAATTGACAAAGACTTGTATTACAAAGCTTTCTAAACAGCAATAGAACGAGTTTTCAACTTNCTTGGCAGTTGCTTGCGTTGGTTTAACCATAGAAATTCAGTTCCCTACAAAATCTCTACAAGTTTTGATTGTGCGGGTTTCGACTCCCACAATAGTACATTCATTTCAGTTTCATGTTTTTGTCTCGTAATTCATGTAGTTAAAGTCTTGTGGATAATCGAGGTGAGTCTTGTTGAATTTAGGTATGGGTAAATTACAAAAGAGTCAAGATTTGTGAGATTCGATTCGATGTTAAAGATCACAACACGGTATGGTTTTCAAATTTTTGATATTTAGCCACGTAA